TCCATCATTACCATGAGTTTCCTCTTAATGAGCTCTCACAATGCTTGTGCAATCGTTTTGACAGTGCGTGATGGATGGAAATCAGTAATGAGATGCTCATCTGCGAGATCATAAACTGCATAACCAACATAATGACTACAGTAAGACCAGAACTAAATTTGTGGCATCTACTCTCAAGCATTATCTGTCCAGCAGAGGGCAACCTGCACTACATTAAAACCAATGCAACTCATGCACTTCAGACAAAATGAAAGAGTCATGAAAACACAGAAATAAACTCTTATGACTCAAAATGATTCAAACTCATATTCACACATGATGTCATTTCTTTATCATTTATGAACTAACGCTTGACATCCCGATTTCTGGTGAAGTGAATGCAAACGTGGAGAGTTCATGCGTTTGAGCTGCTAGAAATAGTGCTGACATTCAAAGAGAACATTTGTGTTTAGAAATCAGCACTTGTGATTTGATGGCCAGAATGTCACTGGGTTTACAGTCGCAGAGGAAGCGATCCTCATCCGCGAGGAAGTATGTGTGATAAACGCACTTATAGATGGAGGAGAACGTCTAAATAAAGATAAATGCACTGAAAGATTTAAGAGGCAGGAAAAATAACCGCACGACAGGGAGAAGGAGAGGGAGAGAGAGAGATGGAGAAAGAGAATCAACAGAACAAAAATAAACCCACACCGCGACTTCAGGGTATTTCTTTCTTCGCTGTGTCTTGAGAGGTATTTGATCGTTTTCTATAAAGCTACTCAAGTAAAGTTTTGTTGGAAGTTTTGCCTCTTTGTCTCCAAGCAAATGCAAACTGCAGGAAACTTTACATTTTGCTTTACTACATTTACAATTTACTACATATACAATTGTTATTTTCTTTGTGAATTGAACAATTCACAGATTCAAAATGAGTCAAAAACGGGAGATCTTTAGCACTTAGGTTTAATTTGAGGGTTTATTATTATTATTATTATTTTATATTATTAATTTATTATAGTTATTTTGGTTAATAATAATAAAAATATTTAAGATTATAATGTATTGATAACAACAATAATACTATTATTAAAAGTAATAACATATCATATATATATATCAGTGCTGTCAATCGATTAAAAAAATTAACTAATTAATCGCACTTCTAAAAAAATTAATCGTGATTAATTGCGATTAATCGCATTTAAAAGACTGAAACTTGTAATTTTGGCTATTCGAGTGTAAAATTAATGTAAACGCAAGACAAATACTATTTAAATTCAAAATATAATTCATTATAAGAATTTTTGTTTACTTGTAACACAGATTTCTTCATGTAAACAACATACCCACAATAAACCATCAAGATCCTGGCTTGACAGCCATATTTATTACAGAAATAAAAACACAGGCATGTTAATGCCATTTGAATTTCAAAACAATCAATGACAATAAAAAAAAAAACTGATTTCCATGTTAGATTCTAAGTAGACTGCAAAAAAATGCCGAAATACAGGCATTGCAGATATGGAAAACTATAATAATAATAATAAAGTATTGAAAATCTGTGCATGCCCTTGAATATGTTTACCAACTCCTATTCTATAAAAGCACAAAAGACATATATAGGAAATAACGAAAGTTGACTAATTAAAAAACTACATTTTTTTATTTATTATTAAAATAAAATTATAATCCACACTGGAAATGTGGGTGCCTGTGTGTTTTGAGGGAGCCTAGAAAATAATGAGCATAACAAAAACTGCCTGCTGATGCACACAGTTAATGTTGATTAATAAAATAAAGATAAATAATAAAAGCAATGTATCAGAGACCCTTAAAAAGCATGTTTAACTCAACAATGAAATGTCAATCAAATGAACTTAAACAATTAAAAAATGCAACAAATATTTGTTTGGGCAGAACTACAAAACTAAATGTAAAAAAAGTTGCTTAAGTTGCACACTAGTTTGATCATGTATAAATATCATTATATTAACCATATTGTATAAATATTATTGTCACTATAAGCCTACATCATGCTGACGATCAAAAACACAATGTCATGATATCTCTTGCGCTTGTCTTCTGACTGAGTGCATCTTAAAATACATGAATGGCACCCTTCATAGAGCGTGAGAATCAGACATTCTCTATCATTTGTAAAATAAAGACTTGCAGGTTAAGGAAACAGCATTATAGGAGGAAGTTGCCGTGGCCGTGGTGCAGATTAAAAGTTTAAAAAAGTATATGTATATGGACAGATAGGTAACTAGATAGAATAGACAGGAATATATTGATCTGTGCCCCGCTGCAGAGTTCAGACGCAAAAGCCTGCTCTCCCGCGGGGCGGACCTGCGCGTGAGAAACAGGCGTGACTCTCTATTTTGACAAATACACAACTACGTTACACAGAGCCCAACATGGAAAATTGTGATTGGGTCAGCCCAATGTCAATAAAGAAAAGAACCAATGGGATTATGTCACCCGGCTCTGTCCGGAAAAGAAACATCTCACTTTCAGAGCGTGCATATATGTATATGAGCAATATCACATGAGTAGCAGTGCGATATGGCTGTATGTCAGCACTGGTGGGAGGCATGCCTTGGCATGAGTGCCTTAATGTCCACCCGTGCTAATATATAGCCATATTGCACTGCTACTAGTGTTTATAAAAAAGTGTTTATAAAAAAGAAAATCAAACACGAAGAGTCTAAAAACCCTTTTGTAAGAGGAACTACTTCCTACCGCCATTCATTTACATCTGCAGCTGACATCAGAACAGCAGAAGCCATTACTAATTCACCGTCACTTCAGAACTTTTCTTTACATCACTTTATTATTTGAATGATTCTCTAGCGTAATGTCTAAAGTTATGACAAAACGTGATTTTGCTCACATTTTAAGATTATAAGGCTGAACTTGACATGAAATGCCATCCATCAGTATTACAGTCTACAGTATTTCTCTGTTGCAATCGGGAGATCACAATAATTAACCCCGAAAAAAGCAGCACAATCCCTACCAGATTGCTGTTGTGTTTGCTATAAGGAAAAACGCTAAACACATGCGGGTATTTCTTCTTTCTTTCTGCCAACATAACACACATTCCTTATATGCCGGTCCCATCTCACAGTGAATACACTACAGTTATATAGTATAAGTAGAGCACTATAACATACAAAAAAAAAAAGAGAGATCGACTTAGAATGTCACTTACCTGCTTAATAATAATTTGATCATCTGTAATTAAAAATTACACTGTTTTAATCTTCTAGGGGCTTATTATGCGGTCCTGTAGCCATCTTGTGGATAGACAACATCAACCGTCTTTGGTCAGCTCAGTATGACAGGCTAATGGCTGCCCACACGATGCCAATCAGAAATGACACATTTTTACAAATAGACACTTTCTTAAATTATTAGCACTATATACTTTTTTTAGTCTGGAATGTATTTTAGATTGCAACTATGCAGTTTATTTATAAGGATAGTGCCTATTTTAAAATATTTATCATTTCTGAGAGACAGCGCATCAGCGGCCATTAGCCTGTCTTTGATCAAAAACTCTTGACGATGTTTGTCCACACGATGGCGACAGAGACCACATAATATCTCTAAGAGAAAACCAGCATAATTTTAAACTACAGCTGATCAAATCATTATTAAACAGATAAATGACTTTCTAAGTCGATCTCTCTCTTTGTATGTTGTAGTGCTGTGTATATATACCAATATTATGATCTCCCAATTGCATAAGAGAAATACTGGGAAATGTCTCTAGACTGATCACCCGTTCAGCCTTAATCTTAAAATTTGAGCAAAATCACCTGTTTTGTCATCACTTTAGACATTATGCTAGAGCAGTGGTTCTCAAACTGTGGTACGAGCTACCTTCTAGTGGTACGCGGAGGAATCAATTAAGTCATATGTACATGCTACATATATTTCAAAATTTATCAAAAATGATTTTTATATGAATATGATGACATATAGCGTATATTTATGAGGTCCAGACAACATTTTCAGGTATTGATGAATAGACTACTATATGTTAATACTTTACATTTAAGTACAGTAATTTCTTTTTACTTTTTAAGAACAGCAGCCTACCATTTTTCACTTTTAAAAGCACATTTTAACTAAAATGTTAATTTTTTTGTTTGATTGTTTGTTTACATATAAGCACAGTACAGTCCTAATGTTCAGACTATTTATAATGTTTAAAGTGGCTGACATTAATAAATATTCTTAATAATAGTAATTAATCTGTCATGTTTTTGAACTGTGCAGAGCTGTAGCTTAAACTGGTCTACTGCGCTACTGTATTTCAATACTGCACATTATGGTGACACTTGGAGTGTTTTTTTTTCAGAGGTGGTACTTTTGAGAACCACTGTGCTAGTTTGAGAACCACTGTGCTAGAGAATCATTCAAATACTAGCTCTAAAGTGACGTAAGTGAAGTAGCAACAGTTTCTGCTGTTCTGACGTCAGCTGCAGATGTGAATGAATGACGGAAGAAAGTAGCTCCTCATACAAAAAAATTTTTAGATTCTCCATATTTGATTTTCTTTTTATATACGCGATTAAGCCATTGAACTGTTGTATAAACGCAATATCACACTTATAGCAGTGCGATATGGCTGTATATTGTCACTGGTAGGACACTAAGGCAATGCACACCTCCCACCAGTGCCGATATATAGCCACACACACTGCTCATGTTATGTTGAACATTACTTTTGAACATTCTATTACTACTTCTACTACTATTATTACTAGTACTATTACTAATAATAACAAAGTAAACTGAGCAATATTATTATTATTTATTACTATTCAGATAACAACTGCTATTTGTTTGTGAAATAATTCTGCTATAAAGTTTGAGCTGTCTAAGCCTGTGTAAATGCTTAAGCGACGACATGGCCAGATTGCATTATTGTCTGAACAGGGTAACTTAATACCCTCAATGTCTTGGAGTGAGTGGGATTGTGGAATCTGTATTTCTCCACTCACCTGCTAATGTAGGCATCAGGCAGTCTGCTGTCTGTCGGAGAGCCCATGTCTCTGCTGGAGCACTTCTCCTCTCCTCCATGTCCACTGCTGGCCTCACTGTCCGCTTTCTGACTCAAAGTGTCTGAGAACGTGTCGTCCCTGTCAAAACCAGCACACAAGAAGTCAGGAAGGTATACGTATTCATTGTTTCAATATTTAAAACTCAATTATTTTATGACACCAAACAAGATGATCTCAAAATTCCACCAAAACATCTCAAAATGGCCAAAACTCAGACAAGATGAGCACTTGTTTGTCTAGTTATTTATTTGTTGATAAAAATGAATAGTGTCTGAAATTTAACAGCAACAACAACAACAAAAGAAAACCTGTAGGTGATTGTTTGCAAAAAGCTGAAGGAAAATAAATGAAGGACTGAATAATATATTAAAAAAGCAAAGCAGGGCAAGGCAATTTTACTGTATTATATAGCACATTTCATACAGAGTCATGGTTTCCGCTACAATCATTCTGCCATGGCGGGGCGCCACGCCAAAATTCATCCTGCCACTGCTACATTACAGCTTCTCATTCAAAACATTAGATTTTTTTATAGCGGGTAATAATCACACCAAAACATATTAAAGGGTAAGTAAATTATAATAGCGCAAACTTTTCTGTAACTGTAGTGGTGCTGTGCGTCATTTGTTTACCCTTTAAGGTGACGAGCTGACTGACTGACTGACAGGCTGACAGGTGCGTGAGGCCAGCAAACATGACGTATAGCCATTTCACTTTACTTTAGGATGCATTAATGCTACTCTGCAGGACTATTGGAGACATTCATAAATATTCCTAGCAAATCTAATAAATGCTAGAGACATACTCGTTACATAAACGCACTAAATCGCACCCAGCACCGTTTGTTTGAGAGCGCACATGAAGATCTGCGCACTCTTGAAGCGGCTTATATTTGAGGTGGCGTGCAAGAAGTTTTGTCCACGAGCAGAAGAAATCGGCGCGCAAGCACAGAGATTTGCACGCTCGTAGGCTATTACATAAATGCGATCCCGACTTATAATACTGCGCTCACAACATAAAATAATAACGCCACAGTTAGTCGGTAGATCTGTGTAAAAAAAAAAAAGGCCTGCCGCCACAGCTGGAAAAAGTCCTAGAGGAAACACTTAGAGTGGCATTTCAAATTGCTTTACACAAGTAAAAAATGAGAATAAAAAGCTCTACTGTACGCTCAGTACAGTTTAGATTGCAACTATGCAGTTTATTTATAAGGATAGTGCCTATTTTAAAATATTTATCATTTCTGAGAGACAGCGCATCAGCGGCCATTAGCCTGTCTTTGATCAAAAACGGTTGACGATGTTCGTTCACAAGATGGCGACAGAGACCACATAATATCCCTAAGAGAAAACCATAATTTCAAACTACTGCTGATCAAATCATTATTAAACAGGTAAATGACTTTCTAAGTCAATCTCTCTTTGTATGTTGTAGTGCTGTATTTATACCATAGTAATTTTGTGATATGCCGATTGCATAAGAGAAATACTGAAAAATGTCTCTAGACTGATCACCAGTTCAGCCTTAATCTTAAAATGTGAGCAAAATCACCTGTTTTGCCATCACGTTAAGCATTACGCTAGAGAATCATTCATATACTAGCTCTAAAATGGTGTTAGTGAAGTAGCAAGTTTCTGCTGTTCTTATGTCAGCTGCAGATGTGAATGAATGGCGGAAGAAAGTAGTTCCTCACACAAAATAATTTTTAGAGCTACAGGTTTGCTGTGCCTGATCAATTATTATACTTATTTTTTTTAAACATTTTTAACAAAACATTTACGGTGAATCAAGTCACTTCAAGATGCTTAAATTAAAATATTATGAGCTATTTCTGTGTAAACATACACACACACACTTTTTTGTTCAAATCACTTTTCTTTTTTTTTGCAATCTGAACTGAGCCAGATCACCTTTTCACTTTTATTTAGACTAATTATCCACATTTGAATATGATGCTCAAAGCACAAATATTATTGGTTGTGACCTTATGCAACAAAAAACATGCGCGTGCGCACGCGCGCACGCACGCACGCACGCACGCACGCACGCACGCACGCACGCACGCACACACACACACACACACACACACAAACAAACAAACAAACAAACAAACAAACAAACAAGTACAACACAACGAAATGCAGTTTAGGTCTAACCGGGAGTGCAATAGCAGCAAGTGCTGGACATAGGTAAAAGTGTAATTTAAGAACACTATTAATATTTATTAATATACAGATGGATGATCTATGAACATAAAATACAAGTTGTCAGAGATTTACAAATAGATGAACATATTGTACAGGTTGCTATTATTAACCATGAATATGCAAATAGATAATACACATAATATAACAACATAATATATAGAGGTTGTTATTTGCTATAAACAGGAATTACAAATAGATATGCGGATATATATATATATATATATATAAAATACATTTACAAATGTATATGTCCAGTGGATATGTACATTTACAAACGGGTATGTGCAGTGTAGTGCAACGATTATGCTCTATATTAAGTATGCAATATTAAATAGTGCAAGCATATGGGATTAAAATCCTGCCAAATGTATCATGATCACAAATCGAAATATAATAAGTGTATTTTATGTCTACATGGACCAAAATGCCTGAGGAATATTTCCAGTACCTTGTTGAATCTATGCCATGAAGGATCAGGGCAGTTCTGAAGGCAAAAGTGGGTCCAACCCAGTACTAGTATGGTGTACCTAATAAAGTGGACAGTGAGTTGCATCTTTTGGAAATGTAACTGCACCAAATTTATTTGCAATTAAGACAACTTTGAATTCAGGTTTAAGTTTTGTGCAATGTAATTCTAAACGTGTTTCCATTTTTGATTCACACTCATCTTTCTGTACACAGCCTCGTCGTTTCTTATTCTGCATTTAGCTTTCAATTTTACGCGGAATAATTTTACACACAATGTCAATATTTTTTATTCGTGCTTGTTATTTTTCAATCTGCGACCACAATACATTTGGTGGGATTTTGATCCCATACAAGCAGCAACACAATTGTTTTAAAGGACTTTTTCCTCTGGCCCCAATGATAATGTTTCACTTGCTGCATTCACCATTTTATGATATATACTGTTTCTGGTGCTTTTAGGCTAATTCACAACCTCATAACACTTCAGCGCATTGATGTGAAGGTCAAGCGGTACGTGATGCTTGTGTTGAGTGGTGCGTTAAAGCCCTGACACGAGGCATGTGAAAGAGGCTTCAGGGCACATAAAGCTCTTCAAGTCCCGTGTAAAATCACAGCTGTTGATACGGCTTATTGGACAGCGCATTAAGTCACATGCGCATGTTTCTGAGCACCAAACACACATATTTATGAGCTGAAATGTGCATTCTCGGTGTTGACAAAGGATATCCTGCGTATTTGAGCTGCTCTTCACTGTCTCGCTCTGGTACTGGAATGAGGCTCAAGGGCCTTTTAAAGGGGTCCTGTTATGCCCCTTTTCATAAGATGTCAAATAAATCTCTGGTGTTCTCAGAATGTATGTGTGAGGTTTCAGCTCAAAATACCTCACAGATCATGTATTATAGGTTGTCAAATCTGCCCCTATTTGGGTGTGGGCAAAAACACACTGTTTTTGTGCATGTCTCTTTAAATGCAAATGAGCTGCTGCTTTTTAGAAGAGGGCGGAGCCTTTACACGCTATTCTGACACAAGCAACTTATGCAGACAAAATGTCAGAAATGATCAGTGGAGGATTAATATTTAAATCTTCAAACCACTCTCAAACAGTTATGGAGAGGAAAAAGTTCTAGGCTAAACCAGTATGATTTTTAATGGTAAATGAATAAATTTAGGTTGTTGTAGAGAAAAATGTATTAAACTCTGACTAGTGTGTTACTACTCTGTCCTGACACATGGACCATACAAATAAACATTACACAATACAATTTACTCTTATCTTTAAAGAAAACATACAATGTTTTGATGCTTTAAAAGGTAAGCTCACCCCCCCCCCCCCCCCAAAATTACTCCATAATTTACCCGCTCTCAACCCATCCTTGGTGTATACCTGATAGATATAAAGTGACTTTTTATCTATCAGACGAACACACATGGAATATTTTTAAATTTTAATAACAAACGTGTCGTGTAGGAACCACTTATCACTGAATATGTCAACAAACTAAAAAAAAGTACACTCAACGGCCACTTTATTAGGTACACCTTAATAGTACCAGATTGGACCCCCTTCAGCCATCAGAACTGCCTTAATCCTTTATGGCATAAATTCAACAAGGTACTGGAAACATTGCTTAAAGATTTTGGTCCATATTGAGATGATAGCATCACACAGTTGCTGCAAATTTGTCGGCTGCACATCCATGATGTGAATCTCCCATTGCACCACATCCCAAAGATGCTCTATTGGATTGAGTCCACATGCCTAAATGCTGAGTTGCTGCCATGTGATTTGCTGATTCGGAATTTGTGTTAACAAGCAGTTGGACAGGTGTACCTAATAAAGTGACCGGTGAGTGTTATTGGCTTGGTATTACTGTATAACATTGTACAGTATATTACTCTTTCAATGCTATATACATGTGTCTAGCCGTATTACATCATGCATCATACAACGTATATGTCAGTCGTAAATAACATGCATTTGTCAGCCACTGGAAGTCAGTGATTAGAGTTTATAATTCAAAAATGTGAAATATTTCTGTTACAAAAACACACTGATCCGCTTCATAAGACATGTGTTAACCCCCTGGCGGCATATGGGTCAGTATGATGATGGATTTATGTGCCTTTGCCCTTTGGAAGCTACAAAATAAAAGCCCCTCTCCAACACCTTCACAAAGCATAAAAAAAGGGTCAAAATAAAACTTAAACTACTCTGACTGTGTTCGTCTGACAGAAAAAAGCCTATACTCTGAGGATGGCTTGATGGTAAGTAAATTATAGAGAAACAAATTTTTTGGGGTGAACTAAACAACGAATTACACTGACGGTGAGCATTTTCAGGCTAAAATAAAAGCATAGATATGATCTCTGTGAATACAAAGGAAACTTTAGCTATATTAATAAGAACATTTAGCTATATTAATAAGAACATTTGTAAAGTAAAAGCTTGAAGTTAAAGTTATTTTGTTGTCTTTTTTCAAGTTTTCTGGGTTGGTAGATGCACTCCGATGTCTCATTTTAATGTTATGTCCCCTTTAAACTTCCTCTCTTACGCCAGGCTGTAAATTCTTTGTGCCACAAGCCAAGAACCCACATCAGCAGAGGGTCATGATGTGAATTATTGACACACCCAAACACACACACATACATACACACACATAGAGAGAGTGGGCTGGTATGGGCTCTGCTGTTGGTGTCACTCAGCGCTGTGCCCGATCCATTAGATTTGCCCTCTTTATGAGCCATAATCTGTTCTACTAGGTGCCAATGGTTGCCCAGGCGGAACAAGTTGTCATGACAATAAAGGGATTTATAAGGGCAAGATGATCAACTGTGGAAGGCTGGTGCTTAACTCAGATATGAGGTTCATTTATGGCATCTAACAAGGTGCCTAGTAATTTTTCTATTAAAACTGTGTCTACACCAAAAGCAAAAATTGTCACATGCACTGAAACGTATAGAGTCTGTCAACACTGTAAGGCACCATTAAAATGTTCTTCCAAATTTACAGATGTGGCTACTGAGAATGCGCCAGTGAATGAACGTGACCACACATAATGCTGCAGTACTGCGCGGTACAGCACAAAACGGTCAAATACAAGAAAGACGTGACCAGCAGGGGGCAGTTATGTAACAGTGAACATGATGAACTGATATATTAGCAGTCAGAGCATGTGAGCGGAGCTGAGCATTCCGCTCTATGGTCATGCAATTAGTCGCCAACCGCCCAAAGTAAGATCTCCATTAACATTACGCTCACCGGTAAACCAATACCGCTCAGATCCTGCTTCAACATAAACTTTCTCTAGTAGGCTAACCCTAATTTTTTTGTAACAAAACAACTAAAAATAACTGTCTAAAATTAAAGCACGTTGATAAAATAAGTTTGTTTCAAAACGGCATTCTTTCTTGTGCTTTTTTTCTTTCAGTACAGTTGTTTTTAATAATATTTCAATAGGCCTAAGTGATCAACTACTTATTTTGTAGCCTATTTATTTAGGCAGCTGTCTGTGTTATCTCCTATAGTTTAACTGACTGTTAACCTATTTTAAACTATATAGCTCTGAACATATTTCGAATGACAAATTTGCTTCCACGACCACGACTTATTTATGCGTGTCCATGTTTTAATTAATGTTAGACTTTAATAATTAATAATAAAATCGAATAATTCATTCCTTGATTAGTCCTACTAAATCTATGAAAAAACATTTGGAAATGTACAGTTTTTAAAAATAGTACTTATAAAAGATTCCTTTTTAAAACTTATTTTCGTTGTATTTAAAGTGAGATCACTGAACAGGAGCCGAAGCCTAGTTTCTCTCAAGGTTTTTTTCCTTCACTTTCGCCAATTGGTGAAGTTGTGACCTGTGAACTTGTGGAGCTGTGCATCGATGGATTTGCTCTTCAGTGTTTGGACTTTCAGCAGTGAAATTTATACCAAACTGAACTTAACTAAACTCAACTTTAACTCTGAAAGCTGGACTGACACAGTTTTTATTTATTAGGACTTCTATGTTAAGCTGCTTTGACACAATCTACATTGTAAAAGCGCTATAGAAATTAAGATGAATAGAACTGCAGTGAGAAAAATGCTCATTTTAAAGAAAATTTCAGATGGTACTTGAAGGTTTTTGTATCTGTACTCTTCATATTTACATTTTTCCCTATTTTTTACATTTAATAATTTAATAAGCTCAAAACTGCTTCAACAAAGCCCTGAGTTAGAAAAAAAATTAGGTGATTTTTTAGATTTCAAAAAATATTAATTGAAATTTTGCTTAAAATGTTTAAAAATGTTAATAATACCAAATTTAAAAAGTGATGAAGATATGTTATATTGTATTCAATGTAAATTTAATTGTATATTGTATTAAATGTAAAAGTGTATCAAACATGATTTAAATTCATTTTAGTTCCTTCATTTCATTCCTTGAGATATGAATCATTACAGTCATTACAGTGAAGTTTTATTTTGCTGACTAAACAGTTCAGATACTCACATATCCTGAACAACAATGTACTGGTGAGGCACGAGTCCATCTATGCCATTGTGTCTGCCCTCCCACCAATCGTCGGATGCTCTCTGGTACAGCAGCAGAGATGCCCCCTTCTTAAATGACAGCTCCCGCGCAGAGCGGCCCACGTAATCGAACTTGGCGATGGCTTCAATGGGCTCTCCCTCTGTAAAACACACAAACACAAAGCATCGTTTAAAATAAATAAATAACAATTTTATCTTTGGTGTCCCCAGAATGTGTCTTTGAAAAATCAGCTCCGTGCTGCAAATGAAAGCATTCTGGATTTTGACTCTTGCTTGTACACTGTAAAAAAAATATCTGTAAATTGACAGTTTCTGTATTTTGTGTTTTCTGTTTATTTACGGTTGTGAATTGCATTATGGGTGCTTGATTGTAGCTCTGTCGACTTTTAATTTTTGTTAATTTTATTGACATTTTAGTAGTTTGAAGTAATATAATGTAGAAAGAAGAAAAATATATCCAGAAATAACATAAATTGTACTGGCAGTATATTGCCAGGATTTTGTACAGTAAAACCAACCCAGACAATATATATTTATCACTATTAATTATTAAAAATCTTAATAAAAGTCACTTTTTACACAACTTTTAAAGGAATAACCTTTAAAAGTTAAAGGTAATAAAGGAATAAAGGAATTGCAATAACCTTAAGCGTTACCTTGTTAATACAATCCTCACATCAAAACACACACACACACATGCACACGCACACACACACACACAAATAGAAAACAGTCAGATTTTTATGATGTACAGATGAAGTCAGAATTATTAGCCCTTCTGTATGTTTTTTCTTCAATTTCTGTATAACAGAGAGAACTCATTTCTAAAAATAATAGTTTTAATAATGCATTTCTAATAACTGATTTATTTTATCTTTGCCATGATGACCACACATAATATTTCTAGATATTTTTCAAGACTTTATGGATTACAGCTCTATTATACAGCTTAAAGTACAATTTAAAGGTTTAACTAGGTTAATTATGTTAACTAGGCAAGTTACGAGTAATTTGAATAAAGATGGTTTGTTTTGTAGACTACCGGAAAAAAATTGCTTAAGAGGGCTAATCATTTTGACCTTAAACTGTTTTTTTTTTTTTTTTTTACTGCTTTTACTCTAGCTGAACTAAAACAAATAAGACTTTATCTAGAAGAAAAAATATATTATAGGAAATACTGTGAAAATGTCGTTCCTCTGTTAAACATCATTTAGGAAATATTTGAAAAAGTAAAAAAAAAAAAAGGAGGGCTAATACTTTTAACTTCAACTGCATGTAACATCATCAGCTTGTGTGATCAATCAGATCTTCCGAATGGACGGCCAGCACACTTTGGACAAAGTACAGTATGCTGCAGTTTATGAAATGCCTGAAGGGAAACGACATGTGTTGCTATTATAGTACCAATTAAATGGATCCATTCAGTGCACATGCCTGAGCTACTGTAAATATGACCGTTGGCTCATATGACTGATAGCATCTGAACGCACCTCTGTGTTCATGGCTTTGCTGTGGTGACCCTCTTTATGTAAGGACTCATTAGAGACACTACAGGCTTCAATGCATGCAAAGTAGCTGCAGTTCTGGCAGAACGGGCTGTTCTCATCTTTCAGGACAATCAGGCAATGTGGACTTTACCAACATCATCACAATGTCTGCCAACAAAGCGCAACAACTCTTACAAAACAGCTCTGCGGTGAGAAATAATTCAGTTCAATTGTATAATGTGCATAATGCGCAAGAGGCTTTGATAAATTAAAAATGAATAAATTTTCGTTTAAATTAGTAATACTATTAATATTAGTTTTCTAAAATAGATATATTTAAAAGAAATTGTATTACATATTAATTACAATTTAATATACATACAAGAGCTATAAAAAGTATTTTTCATTAAAAATATAGTTTATATATATATATATATATATGGCAATAATAATATTTTACATTATTAAATTATTAAATCATTTTTAACATAGATATAAAAATATATAATATATATAATCTTTTATTATTAATTCATTTTCTTTTCGGCTTAGTCCCTTTGTAAATCAGGGGTCGCCACAGCAGAATGAACCGCCAACTATCCAGCATATTTTACACAGCAAATGACCTTCAAGCCACAACCGAACACTGGGAAACACCCATAGACTCCCATTCACACACATACACTACGGACAATTTAGTCTACCCAATTCACCTGTACCGCATGTCTTTAGACTTGTGGGGGAAACCGGAGCACCCGGAGGAAATCCACATGAACACAGGGAGAACATTCAAACTCCACACAGAAATGGCATCTTTTATTATTATTATCTAAAATGTAAATTTTAAATAAAACTTAATAATTTAATACAATAAAAATACAAATGGTTAACTTCTATTTTAAAAGTCATTCATATTCAATCAACACAGACACGTATATATGAGCAATATCACATGAGTATCAGTGCGATTTGGCTGTAGGCGGCAGGTGTCCCACCAGTGTAGATATGAAGCCACATTGCACTGCTATGAGTGTGATATTGCTCTATTCTACGGCATAACCAAGTGTATAAAAAAGAAAATCAAACATGGAGAGTCTCAAAACCTTTTTGCAAGAGGAACTACCTTCTTCTGCCATTCATTCGAATCTGCAGAGGATGTCAGAACAGCAGAAACAATTGCTCATTCACCATTACCTCACTTTAGAGCTACTATTTGAATGATTCTCTAGCGTACTGTCAAAGTCCCTTTAAGGCAAGTCATTCACTTGGCGGCCATCTTTAAAACGCCTCTCAGGCAGTATGCTCCGGCATTCTGTTTAAATGGGGAAGTATCAAATTCACCAAAACTGCTTGCCAAGCTTATGGCTGAATATCATATTAGAAATCACCAATAAAATTAAACAACAACCGTCTCTTTAGTATCATTTCTAAACGTCCAAATCACGCGAAATCTACAGAAACTCATGTCTGATCCTAGCCCCTTCCCCAGATTATAGTCAGTCTATAGTGGTCGATGAATGGCTCCTGTACTAGAAGATTGACTTTTGTCACCAAGTAGTGATCAATGATTGGCTCCTGTACTGGTAGGTAGGGCTTTTTTTACCATATTGAAAGTTACACTTTTCCCCATTCAAAAAGATACGAGTGACATGTCTTGTGTTTTCTATAGTCTTTGGTAATGTCTAAAGTGTTGACAAAACAGGTGATTTTGCTCACATTTTAGGATTATAAGAATAAACGACATGAAATGCCATAAGTCTATAGAGATTTCCCAGTATTTTTCTGTTGCAATCAGGAGATCAGAATAATACTATGGTATAAATACAGCACTACAACATACAAAAATATAGATCGACTTAGAAAGTCATTTACATGTTTAATAATGATTTGATTAGCTGTAGCTTGAAATTACAATGTTTTTCTCTTAGGGCTTATTAAACGGGCTCTGTTGCCATCTTGTGGATAAACATCGTCAACTCAAAACTCTTTTGCTCGAAGACAGGCTAATGCTGTTATTCGCATTATTATTCGCTGCTATTCGCGTGTAAATAGCCGCGTGAACATTTGAGGTTACTCACTTCATTCGAGCGTCAAACCCCGCTTCATTCGCGTGTCAAATTCACTTCAGAACAGACGTGGATTCGCGTGATGGGCAGGGCTTTTGTCTGCCCCGTGACTCTAGCTTCATAGCTAAATGGCTAACATGGATTTTATGAAGAAAATAACAGTGTTTATGTGCTTTATGAAGGATGATAAACAGCGTCGATACGTTTAGGGCTGTGTCTGAATCCACTACATCCTTTCAGAGGTGCATCCAGCTCTTTAAGCTCATAAACTCCTCCAGAAACTGAACCTTGCTGATGGAGGTTTTCAGCGGTGCTTCAGACTGAGCCCAGCCCAGTTTAATGAACTTCTTGTCGGTGTCTGCTGGGATTTCCCCTGGGACACAGACAACAGGCGATACGTCACAATCACGCCCCCACAAGAGCAAGCTCCTGATTGGTTAACGCGGCGCGAATGTCCGCTGAAGTTTAAATTTTCGAACTCGAGTGATTCGCGCGAAACGCGCATTAAGCGCATCAAACGCTCAATTCGCGCCACGCCATTCGCGCCATGCACACCGCGCAATTCTCGTCATTCGCACTGCGCCATTTGCGCGTATCTTGCCACAGGGTGTCTATTCGCACGTTTGCATTGACTTAACATGTAAATCACTCGCGCTTGACGCGTCTGGTGTGAACGCAGCATAATGGCTGCCGACGCTCTGTCTCTCAGAAATTATAAATATTTTACAATTTAAATTACGTACTTTATGTTGTCCAACAGCAGCAATATTTGTCAAACTGTAGATTGTCCTCTGCTCGTCGTTGTATGTGTGTGGAGTAATAATCAAGGGTGAAGGGTTAAAAGGCTGAACGAGTGCTGTTACTGGCAGAATATTGCACGCTATCAGCCAATCAGATTCAAGGACCAGTTGAACAGTTGTGTATATGTATATTTATAGCATAAAACTTAGTATTATTATTATTGCTACAATATAGCTAATCTAAAAACATTTAGAGTAAACTACAACTTCATCTCTACTGTAGAGAAATGAGTAAAACAAACAAAAAAAACAAACCATACAAAGGAAAATACAAAACTGCTTCTCCACAGAAACCACAGCAAAAGCAATCTAAAAATGATCATCACAATCTCAAAGAGGAAGCGCTTCTTCATTCTGGACAGTGTGGAAATGACAGCGAGTCAATGAGACGTGACGGCCGTCTGAATGAATAGAGCCGCTCAGAGACCGGGCAGGCGTCTTGTTAATAAAGCGGACGGACTGGAGATCAATATGGCCAACAAACGTCCACACGTCCCTGTCTCTCAGCATCATTCATCAAACATCCTCATCTATCAAAACACTGCAAAGACAGGCTTTCTGAAGAATAACAAACTTAACTAGAACTCGGTTGGTTTAGGATCAAGAAAGGGTCAACAAAGAACCACGGCTTCAATGTTGCAGAGAAATTATTTAAAAATATAATACACATTTCGGTGTCACGATGGCGCAGTGGGTAGCACAATCGCCTCACAGCAAGAAGGTCACTAGTTCGAGCCCTGGCTGGGTCAGTTTGGCGTTTAAATGTTATCCCTGTAGGGTTTCCTCT